CCACCACTCCCTTGTGCAGAGCAGAAGGTGAATCCGAAGCTCTGCTCCTGCTGCTCATGAACAGCACATGGGCTTCACAGCTTGACGAATTGCAGGGACCGGGACTTGGTGGAATCATCCCAGCTACTTGCTGGAAACAAAGATGATAAAGCACGTTTCCAACACAGTCTTCAGCTTGCCAACAAGTGCAGGAGATGATGGAGAGCCTTGACTGTGCCCTGGGAACCACCTCAAAGTGGCACCATTCTGAGGAGCTGCTCGGAGAACCAGAGCAGAGGACTTGACAGTGCCCACTAAAGCAAGGGGAGATGTCTAGATGGTTTTTTCGTACATAGAAACTCAGCAGGGACCAACTCGCATGGCAGCGAGGTGAAACAGGAGCTCAGCCATTGATTTCAATAGCTGCAGGGTCTTGCTCTTAGTTTAATGTATTTTTAAAAAGGGGTGAGCAGGACCCATTCTGGGAATAGAAACATCACCAGCAATTTCATCCTCCTGAATAATTTGCCCATAACTTGCCTGTGCTTTGATTCAGAAGCTGCTCTTCAAGGGCACCAGAAATCCCTTCTCCCATCCTCTTTTCAGCCCCCAGTACACCTCCGCCATGCTGCTGTTAGATTCAGCTCAGTAATCCCTGTAGGCGCAGTGAGGACATCCTGGTGGCTTCCGATGTCCCTGTGCCCCTGACACTCACCCCAGATGGGCAAGTAAACCCAGCCTTCCCCTCTCCTCCACTGGCAAAGAAGCTTACAGGGTCTCCCTGTTTAATTGGCACGGCATTTTATGGTCTTGCCCTTCTTCTCACCCTTCTGGTCAATGGAAATAAATAAAAAACAAACCTCCCGCACATTTATTTCATTTTTTGTATTTTTATTTAAAAAGAAGGTTTGCTAACAGCAATCAGTACCGTGGCCCAGGCCCCTCAATACAACAGCTGGCTTTAACAGTCCCTGCAGCTTCATCCCTAGACTGTCCCTCCTCCGCGCCGGGAACAAACCAGGGAATTATCCGGCTTTAACAACCACTCCTGAATCGCGGGAAGCTCCTTGGGATTGCAGACTTCATCCATCTTGCAGTTTTACTCTCTGTCTCCTCCTGTCTCAGGAAACCCCAACAGCTTAAGCTGAGGTTCACAGCCAGGTTTAGCTTTATCGTGCAACTAAACCCAAGTAAAAATAATAAAAAAAAAATAATAAAAAAAAGGCAGGTTTTAAAAAAATACATAAAAGAAATAATTTTCTGGAGTTGGAAAGAAACATCCCTTTGGTGCCAGATTAGCACACGTTTATCCGCTATAATGTTGCTTATACCTTAATCTTAGGCATCTTCATCTGACACTAATTAGCAGGCTGGAGTCTCCTATGGTACAGTAGCTTCTACATCCCAAAACATGAAAGTGAGCTCTTCCTTTCACCACTTGAAGCACTCAGTTTTTAAAGAGACAATGTCAAGTATTTCAGCCCCCAACTGTACACTTTTTAACTTAAAAAAGACAGCAGGAGGAGGAGGCACAAAGGTGATGATACCCAGCCACGAAAGCACTGCGGCGCGTGGCCAAGGCTTGTCTCTGTAGTGTTATTTGCTCTCCCACAAATCAAACCAAACTGCACTCACTGAACCCCGGACTCACGCGCATTTCGGCACCGAGCGCTAATTAGGAGACAAATAGCTACAGAAGCAGAAAATTAAACAGACCAATCCAGTTGCTTCCCTCAAAAAAAACCCAAAACTTAGAGAAAAGCAAACGTGGTTATAAAAACTTCTTTGTATTTTGGGTTCTCTCTGACAAAAAAAACAACAAAAAGATCATTTCTTTGACGTTCATCACTAAACAATCATTCCACCAAGATCGATCTGACACCCGATTTAACTGGTCAGAGCCAGAGCTAATCGGAGCTTGGAAGCAAGGAGAGAGCAGGACTTCAGGAATACAGCGCTGTATGCTGGTTCTTTGCGGAGAAAGTGAAAATAAATTATTTAGACTTGACAAAGTCCCTTGAAGTCCTGCAGTCTTTCTGCTTGGCTGGGTCTCAGGCCTATCACCAATATTTCAGCGGTTATTTTTGGAGGGGGAGAGGAGGCAGGCTGCTCAGCAGGTAGCGTTGGGAATTAAGAGCTGGATGTGCTTATGGTTTTCACGAGCCCCGACAGACGTTGAGTGTCTTCGACTGTGGCACAGTAAGACCCTTAATACTAGCGGTGCTGGTTCGCAGCAGCAAACCTCTTCCTTGCCACGTTCCAGCATCTTTGCTCCTTTCTAAATTGCTCCTTAGGAAAGGAAAATACATGCTCAGCATCCTCCTCACTGTCTGCCCAGCTCAATGCCGATGCGCCCCTTTCTCTGGAGACCCTCGCATCTCCTCTCTGAGCAAATGTCACCGGGATCAGCTTAGCACAGCTCCCCACTGCCTCCTGGAGATCCAGCTGCAGCCCAGGAGGCTTCTCCCTCTCCTCTCCGAAGGCTGCGCTCAGGTCGGTGGTCCATGTTTTAAATGGATCTGTGTGTGACTCGGCCGGGCACCAGTCCCTGCTGGGCAGGAGACGGGTCCTGCTCGGTGCCACGGGCAGTCCCTCGGCTGTGAGAGCTGCCAACAAACCTTCCCTGCCCACCCCACTCCCTGCCCCTTCCCCTCCCCGCCACGAGCACGGGGCCAAGGACGTGCCTTGCTGCAGAGCACTGGCATCCTTGGCCAAACAAACTAACTACCAACCTCAGACCAGTCACGACGAACGGCTTAACGTTTACCCATCACCTAACATACCCTCAAAAACCAAGGCCACCTTCACACCCTTCGGATGTAGGTCAAACACCCCTCCGAGCCCAGCAAGCCCACGGCAAGGGGTCTTGCCCGGGCCAGTCATGCCAGATGCTCCCGCATCTCTCCTGCTCCTTCCTTGGTGAACACCAAACAGTTATAATACTCAGGTCAATATATATAGGTACCACGTATATATATTTGTGTCGCTGTTCTGCGCATTAACAAAGACAACCAACCCCACCAGGCACCACTCGTCCTTTCCGCCCCCTCCCCTTCCTCCCGTGGCTGTGCAGGAACGCGGCCGGGGACCACCCTACGTGGCCCCATCGCACTCCCCCACAGTCAGCTTCAAGGCTCCTTGCTGGTGCAGCGTCTTTAAGGCTTTGAACTCCAAGGGCATGGTGTGCGGGCTGGCCTGCGAGGTGTAGCCGTACTTCAGGCTGTCGTAGTAGTGGTACTTGACCGGGTTCTGGTTCTGGTCCAGGGGAAAGGGCCAGAAGCCGTAGAGATAGATCTGGTTGCAGAATCGAGTGGCTAAGGTGTACATGAGGAGGCCGGTGGTGGGTCGCTTGATGTGCACTTTGTTCGTTAGCCAGTACCTGCAAAGGGAGAGCAGAGGAAAGACAGTTATTCCCCCGCACACGAAGCTCGTGCATTGCACGTTTTCTCCCTCCATGAGACATATTGGTAATTCAAAGCGAGAGGTTTCTGACTAGCAGAAGAGTTCTCCATGCCAAGAAAAAGCCTCTCTAGAGATCGCTTCATGAATAAGCATCCTCCTGCTCTCTGTCTGGCGGTTACATCACACTTGTTGCTATGGCATTGAAGCATCTCATGCCTCGGCAATCTTTTATGAAAAACAAATCACTTGCAACGGTGGCCTTCGCTACTTCAGCCTACAATTATCCTCCAATCAACCCAGGAGATCAATACCACAGACCAAACCATCCACGTGTCAAGCAGACTCCAGCAACCCCTCGAAGCAGACATGCTCTCACACACAGAAGCTGACGATTTGCACTGACGAATGAAGGTTTTTACTCTGACAGTAAACACAACAGGGCTGTAAAAACATTTGCCTTGGAATAAAGGGTCACCGGGCTGAAAGAGCTAAAACGTGCTGCTGGGTTCCCGTTACACCCAGCGATTGCTACTGTGGTCCTGGACCAAAATACACCACCACGCTCTGCAACATCAGTCCACGAGATATGCAACATGGCATATTGCAATACATAATATCCGATACGAGGTCAGCTGTGCTCACCGCTGAAAAATATGTTAGTTTTTACGAGGGACGGCAAAAAGAAGAGGGGAAGGAGATACCCTGCAGCAACGCACGAGTAGAAACAGTATCAGCAGTCGTATTTCGGCTGCCCATAAAAGTTCCTGCAGCATCAACGTCCTGTAAGAAGACGTTTAGGATCCTGAGCCGCGTCCTGCTGTCGCACGCGGAGCCACGGGAAGTGTCTGGCTCGTCATCAGCACTTTCTGCCGGGCTCCTGAGGGTCTGGTGCTCAGACAGCAGGAACCCTCGGGAGACCTGAGCCTTAATCCCACAAATTAGCTTTTCACAAAAGCCATTAAAATTTAGCAACCAAGGCACAAAACGTACTTGCTTGTCCTCAGCCAGATAAGAGAAAAAATTGACTTTTCTGGTGAATCAAATTTTGGAAGCAGAGTGATCGCCTCAGCGTGTGCAGGAAGGACATGGCAGGACTTCTTGGGGTCCCACACCCCAAAGGTGTCCAAGCATCTGCAGCTTTAGCAAAGGATGAGTACGATGTTTTGGGAAGGAGGTCCTCTTTGCCCGACTCATCTTGGCATCCAGCATGAAAAGGAGCAAGAAACTGGAAGGAAAGCTGGGGGGAGCCAGTATCTCAGAGGCACAGCATCAGCATTTTCTGGGCTTGCTTGTGCCTACGGATTGCTCTGTGGGGACACAGCAAAGCTCGCTGCGGTGCCGAGGCAATCTTCTCCCACAGGTGGCCATAAACCAGCCTCCTTCATGAGTTTACGGGGAAGCACATTAGACACCTGGTGTGCGGAGAGAATTGGGAGATTATCACAACCATTTAACTCTGTGAATTAGGGTATCCTCGTGCAGCAGGGAAGCTACCTGGGAAGAACACAACCACATCAACCAGTTGGCTTTGGGGGAAGTCAACTGTCGGGGTTTGTCCTGCAGCTGTTTTAGCTTTAAAACTCTCTTTTTATCAGTTTACCAGCTTGAGCACAGAAAGATACTGGAGACCTCATGCCTGCCCAAAATATTAACTTTCGGGTTTTGTTGAGAGGCTGTAAAAACTCTATGAACATCCAACAGCCTTGACAGCATGATGGTTGCACACAGGTACAGGGCATTCACCACCAATGTTTTGAGTGTATTAATGATGACAAAAACGACCCGGGTCAAACACAGAGGTGCCCTACAGAAGCACACCGTCCTCAGCAACCCAGCACACACCAACAGCCCCACCAAGACCAACAAGAGTGTGCAACCAGGACCCAAAAGTCACTCTACCAAAACCAACCCAGCGTGTCCACCTCAGCACAGGCAGCTCGTGAGCACTCGCTCAATATTATCGGGGTAAACAACACAGACCATCCAGTTTCTTATAACAAAAATTAAAATCCTGGCTCTTTATCCGTATTTCCTTCTATTGCGGGTACAACACTGGGGAAAAGAGAAGGATGAAAAAACCTCGCTCCTACAGCATCATAAATTCTTGCTGCTGGATGCAGCTTTGGGAGGGAGTGATGGACTCCAGGCTGTCCCAGCACACCCACACAGATGACATACTTAGTATATAACGCCCAAACCATAACACAGGCCATGCCACAGCACTTGCAATTTTTGTCCTGGACAGTGAAGGTGGGAAATCCTCCAGTGAGGTCTGGGGAATACTTTTTAATGACTGGTTTGTGATGGGAGTGTGGGAGCTATGCAGGAAGATCTCCCTCTTATCTCTCCCACCACTGGCCAACTGAGACAGTGGCCACATTCCTGGTGCACAAGAGAACAGCTGGGGATGGAAATAAAACCTAATTAATTCCGTAAATCCAAATGAGGTTGTCTGGGTGCACATGGGATGCTGTGTCAACAGCACACCTTTAATATGTGAGGTCCGGGATTTTAATTAGGAGGAAAGATAATCTTGAAGCAGGCAGTAATTATTTTTCAAATTGGCTACACCAATCACCATAACTATTAACTGCAACATTTTATGAAAAGAGACAGCAATTAAAATAGAAGAGCAAAGAGCAGTCCTGAAACCCAATACCTTCTTTCTCAGAGCCGTTCTCACAGCGTGGACCTCCTTCAAAAGCCAGTGCTGTGTCGTTTCTGTAAATGAGCCCTCAGGGGTGTAGGCAGCTACAGAGAGAGGCTTGTGCCTGAGCAGGATCCAGCTATGAACAGGAACCGTGATGCTGTCAGGCAAAAGTCATCTGAGACAGCTCTTGTTTCGGATCATGATAGTGACAGATGGAAAACGCCATCAGATCTTCAAGGCCATCTTTTGTAAGGATGCAGACACAAGCCCTAGCACCTATTTGAACTAATATTGATGGTAGCCAAGGACAGAGGCTTCAAGAAGAGCAGCTCAGAGAGTTTCGTGCTGGGTGGTAGGTGGTTCTGGCTGCTGCTCAGCAACATCAATTTCCCAAAAGGTTTTCAAGAAATTTAAGAAGTCTGCGGAGCAGAACTGAAGAGCACTGCCACCGGCTGCCTACAACTCCTGCGAGGGGCTGCACTGCAACCACAGGGAAAGCTACCACTCTATTGGGACCTTAAAGCCCAGTGGGAATCCTTCAGGAGTCCAAACGTTCTGAAACCACCCATAGGAAGCTGCCAAGGAAGGTGACAGCCGCCACGTCACACATCTGGAGCACGCACCTCACTGCCCCAACGGCACTCATCCTTCCCCAGCATCACCGAGTCTGGGGAGCAGAGCCTGGACTTGATTGAGGCTGAGACACTGGGTGCAAAACCTCCTTGTTGACAGTGTTTGAGGACCACCAGCGAGGGCAGGGTCCTGCTTCGTGTTTACCCATCACCTCCTGATGTGTCTGAGAAAACCCAAAGGCAACTTGGACCCTCCAGGCAAGGGTTAACCTGCAGGATAAAAGGAACAGAAAATCCATCGCCTTGATGAAATGAATAAAAGAAACCCAGGTCAATGAAGAAATCAAGTTTCAGCAGTATCAGCTGCATTATTTAGTGATACAAATCGGAATAGCTGAAATAATGCAATTTCAGAGCTTTTTAAAACAGCTTATTCATAAAAGTGTGATACGAACACAAGCTGCTGTGGAGGTGCTAGTCCTTGACTGCCAGAAGCATATTATCAGTCTGCCACACACATCCTGCTCCCATTAATACTCACGAAAAACCAGCTACAGATAATCACAGTGAGTGCCCCACCGGTGCTCCGAGGGCAGGACCCGCTGGTGCTGGCAGGGCACAGCACATATACTCATCTGCTGGGTGGATGCAGATGAAGTGCTGGAGCCCATCCAGCTATCCCCTATCCAGCTTCTCCCAGCCCTTTTCTGTCCATGTATCCAATCTCCTCTGTCACCTTCACCAAAATAACTGAGAGCCATGTACGGTGCTGAGATCTGTGCTGGATGGGTGGGAATGGGCAGGTCCCCACCCAGATTCCTGCTAACACAGGCTCCAAAAGCTGGACTGGAGTCAGAGCTGGGCTTTATCCCCATGCTGGGCAAAGCCCAAACACCAAATCAAGCCTCTATATCCCGGCTGGATCTGTACCACGTGGCTTGGATCTGGTTTTAGTGACTTGGCACAAGCCAGTCACTAAATCAATGCTGAGTCATAGAATCATAGAATGACTCAGGGATAAATAACTCTTTTCCTCCTCTAGGTCTTGAGATCTGCAGTGTCCTTTCAAACATGCATGGTTCTCAACACCTGCAAGTTAAACCATTTCCAAACAGACAGAAGAAGAGGAAAGTAACTGGGAAGAGGATGATCTTACTTCTTTCCCCTTTCCTTCCTACAACCCTCCCATTCCTCTGACAAAGAAAAGCCGAAATCATCTTCCTGATCGACGGGAACAAATTAACTGTCTCGGCGTCCCAGTGCAGACGCACCGCAGCTCTCACACAACACACCTCATTTTCTCACATGTAGAAGGGGTGAGAATAATTGCTCACACAGGATTTATTTACGGGATATCAACTGATCTAATGCACCCGTGGTTTTACGAGGAGTTTGTAGTCCTCCACATCCTACCCTAGTCACACACTTGCCAACAGCAATTTTTCTTTTTACACGCTTTGGTCATCTTCATCTCCATCCCTCACTGGAGTGCAGGACTACTGTCCTGCTGTGGGACCAGAGAGGAAAGCCTTTGAGGCACGAGTGTCCAGGGCAGACATTTCAGAGGAGACCCTGCAAGCATGAAGTACCATAAAGGCAGGAAGCACAAAGGAGCTGGTTTAGAAACCCCACAAACAAGTGACACTGGCTCACCGACAGCAGAACTGATCTCCAGACACAGAGTGAGAAAAGAAGCGCTGGAGAGCTGCGAAAAGGAAAAGCAGCCACTCAGGTTTGATGTGTCAGAGGAAAGGGGAGCCCGTGGAGGGATGCAACAGAGCGGGGTGATGCGATCAAAGCAACAGGTTAGGAGAATAACCTGCACACATGTCCTGCATGGCTACATGCGAGACAAGGCTGTAGGAAAGGACGTGCCACACTCAGGACACAAAGTGAGGAGGGACCAGTGGGGGGTTTCCACCATGGCTGACGGATGAGAAAGGCAGCGGCCGAGCAGACTGCCCTCAAAAATCAGCACAGGCTTAGATGTTGTTTGGGTGTGAGGACCCAGGGAGACTTCTGAGACAAAGATGAATTCACTTCAAGTCCCACCAGGCTGTGCTTCTGAGGCCGCGTGGCAGAGCTGCGCTGTGAAAGCTCCAAACCCTGAGCAAGGCGATGGCTGTCGCAAAGAGCACACGCAAACTGTCACAGCCATTTGGATGTTACACCTAACGGGAGACCTAGCCAAGGACCTGCAGGATTTATTGATTTTAAATTTTTTTTTCTTTCAAGAAGCTCTTTAACAAAACCTTCTGGGATTAGAATTGGTTACCGCCAAGAGACCCTTGTGATGGATACACAGTGAGAAATGCTCAGCTAGATTATACAAGACAAACTGAAACGCGTCCACGAATTCTCCGCGAGGAGCAATAGTCAAACCTACAGACACAATTATTTTCCCCCGCTCCCTGCATTTCATGTTATTTCTCTAACAAAAGCTGCTTGGCAATAAGGATTACAAGGCATTTTGGAGACGCTAACAGATGACTTATAAGGGGCTCGCTTGCTTCCCAGCCAGGAGACAAGCACTACACTCGCCAGATGAACTGCTCAGGAGACATTTTATAGAATCGCTCCGAAGTGAGTCACGCACCCCCGAAACGCATGGCACCGTCCCCGTCCCCGCGAGCTGGCTCCCTGCCACGGCACAGCTTTCCTCCTCAGCCTTAGGTAGTGACTCGGCTTCCTTCTGAGCTCCTCCAGTGAAATGCTGATGGTTCTCCTCCCTCCCGGTGTGGAAATGGGGAGTTTAACCATGCAAGGAGAGCCTTCGCCTTATTGCACAGATTATCCAGAATCAGCGACACAAAAAGCTATCGGCCAACATTTAAGGCACCCTCACAGCTAGGAAGGTGATGCCTCAAATGATGCTGTTAAGGACGACAAAACCAAACGCTTTTCACTTATCTCAGCAACGCACACTCTACAAATGTCCCAAATGCAGGGAAAATTATAGCAAAAAATGCTCGATTGCCACTGAAATGTATTCTGGTCTGGGGGAAAGCAGAGCAGGACGATAAATACTGTGGTTCAAGGAGGAGTCAAGAACTCACAAATGTATTTTGCTGGAAGCGAAGGAAGAAGAGAAAAGGCAAAGCTTTTGTAGCCGAATTGAAGTTGGCTGAAATAATGTTAGTCTTTGCAGAAAGTGCTATTCCTTGACAAAAATAAAATACATATAAGAGTGTCTTGGCTGAAAGACTTTCCCCATTTCTTTGTGATTTCCAAATCAACTTATGATAGATTATAAAGGGTAGCTTTATCCAGCAAAGGAGAAGACAGGACATCTCTGCAGATGCAGCCCACTGACTGTAGCACAGAAGAATGTTCTGTGGGGCTTTGCAGATTAGTGATTCTCTGCTGCATGCCACAAAAGGTATTTTTTTGACAAATCTTAGATCTGCCAAAGAAAAGGGTAACACTATGAACTGGCATGTTCCTCACAGAGAGCTGGAGAGACAGAGGAAGTCGTTGGAGACCATATCCCTGTAATAGCAAGGAGCTCAGAAGCAAAAATATAGACTGATCATAGGAATTAGATAGTATCACAGAAGATGAATAAGGAAACTCCTAGGGATTCTGGTCAGCTTGACCTAAGGAAAGACTCCTTCTTCATCCCAAACTACATCACATCAATTAACCTGAGCAGATGGTCAAGACAACCCTGTAGGTACCTGAGAGACTTCCTATACAACACCAAGAGCATCAGCACACCCCTCCTCCCTCGGCTGTGGCCAGTTCATTCAATACTGCCTCAGTCACTCCCAAATCCATCCAAGTTCAAACCTGAGGAGGCTGCACTGAGGAAAGGGTTAACACTGACTCCAGCCTTCCCCTAGACCATCACAGCCCTTTGCCCCCAGTCCTGGGTGGTCGGTCTGCACAGCTCCTGGGCCAGCCCACAACACACTGAGTAGGCATCGATGTGCTCCCATCAGTTCTGACTTCCTGAAGAGGCTGCAGTTTTAATTATATTAATCATTACTTAGTAAGCATCCTTGTTTTCCTGGTGATCAGTGTGAGAGCAGGAGGGCAGGTCAGGCAGCAGCTCCCTTGGCTTGGAGGGCAACCCCTGACAAGGATCAGCACTGACTTCTGCGGTTATAATTGAATTAGTGCTGCCCCAGTGCAGCCATGACCCACCTTTCTACTGCCCCACAGCACGGTGACCGGCCCAAATGGCACAACTGAGATCTCAGCTGTAGCTCAGACCGGGTACTTAGAGCCTGTCATCAGCATCAGCCAGCGCCCGACCACGCGCTGGTACTATATCCATCCCACACACACCACACCGGCCACTCGCTTGCTGGTCTGACTGACTGCAGCCCTCTGAGCCCCAGCAGGTTTTCAGAAGCCCGAACCCACGTTCCTTGCACGTGACCCCATTAAAACCCATGGGGACACTAACGGGTGCAAAAGGAAAACACAACCCTCGGGCTTGTCCCAAAATCCCTGCATCCCACTGCCCTGTGGGAGATGCGCAGGGACACCCGTGTGCCAGCCAGCCTGGCTGGACCGCAGGGCTGCAGCACAGGAGGGCCAGGAAGGTGCCATGAGTTGGAAGATAAGCTCAGCAGCAGAGCTTATCGGGGCGTCCTCCTCTTCTCCTGCAGGAAAGCAATGCCCAGCCCTTGCCAATCCCTCCGCAAAGCTTCCTATGGGAAGTTTCTGGCACCGGGAATGGTTGCCAGCACAGGATTAGCAGCCTGTTGATTTAAAGGGCTTATTACAGGAGCTTAATTCTATTTTGACAGATGAAAGTAAGTCAATTACAGCTAGAAATAGTTTCGAATTTGGGCTGTGGGTTTGGTTTTTTTCTTCCCCTCCCCTCCCTTTCCGTGAGTTACAGTATCATTTCCCTCCCTTTTGTTAACTCAAAGCCAGCTTTTTCTGTGGGATGTCTCCTCCAGCCCAGGGAAGCCTCAAACACAGGCACTGGGGGCAGACGTGGTTCTTCTCGCCCATTATTGCTGCCTGTGATGTACTGCGGCACCAGAACCTCCCCTCTTCCAGCTCGTCTGGGTTGCTTGTGGAGCCACCCTTCACACATCTCTCCCCAGAGCATCCCCCTAAGGCTTGCTCCTGTGGGGAAAGACCCCAAAATCTGTCCGGTGCCCACCCCATGCACTGACCTGAGCTGGGACAGAGCAACACCCAGCATGGACCAACTGCCCAGAGAGCTCAGGCTCAGAGGTGTGCCAGGGAAGAAGTGCTCAAAGCGATCAAGAAACCTTACTGCTGAGGTTTAGATGTGGGAGCACCAGCAGCTACATGAGTGGATTCCCATCCCAGATGATCAACTGGGTCTACTCAGGATCAGAGAGGGCAACCACTGCCACTAAGCCATCTCCAGCATAAGCCACCACATGCCTGGACTCCCTTAATGCCTAATGAATCATGACTCTCCCCAGAGAAATAGAGCAAGAAGGCAAGAGCCTACCCCATCCCCAACCTACTTACAAAGAAGTCACACCCTTGGAACTCTCTTATAACTTCCTCATCCCCACCACACCTGTGTCTCTCACATGCCTGAAGTTGCAATAAGGGAGCAAAAAGACCCCTTCCTTCCCTCCTTCCTTCCCAATAAATCCATTCACCACCACCCTGCCCTATTTACCTGACCATCATGACCAGACCATGTCAGTCCCTTCCCTGGGCTGGTCATTTAAGATGACCAGTGCAATTAGTACCATTACAGGAGCATCCAGGCTACTCATGAACAGCATTGGTCCTCTGCCACCACCGAGCCCGTCCAGGCTGCCATGAGCTCCCTGACTTGAGGAGCTGCATGAGATTTGCACGTGTCGCTCGAGCACAAGGTGAAAAACCTTGTCACTAGCTCAGCAAATCGCAACACACACACACGTTTCTCCAAGGAAAGCCCTAACTGTAAGTTAGGGAGTTATCATGATGACACTCAAAGTGCTGGAAGTCTTAGATTCACTATATTGCATGGCTAAAAGACCTCACACTCAAAGAGCAGAGCATGGAGCTCCTGCCTGCAAGGTAGTCTCCATTTCTCATCTAGGGACCAGCCACTGCCCATGGAGTCCTCCTCACAGTCTGCAGAAAGAAACAGCTGGTGCCGTTTGCCTCCAGCACAAACCCATGGATTGCTCTCTAGCTCAGGAGAAGCTCATGAGATCCTGGCTCCAAGCACACCAGAAACGCTCTCACCCTCGAACAGCGTGCAGCAGGCGCAGCGAGGGGTAGGCAGTCCTGACGTTGATGTGATGCTTCAGGATGAGCTCGTTCACCCACTCCACTCGCTCCTTGCCCCCCTTGGCCATGAATGCTGGGATCCAGAGGATGCTGCCGTTGAGGCTGTGGAGGCGTTGCAGCAGCTTCTCCCTCCAAGTCTCGTTCACCAGGTCCTCAAAGGCCCGTTGGATGACTGAGGGGTTCATAGTCACCAGGTCTGTCTTCATGCCCACGTCCTGCGAGTACTCTTGAACAGGGGCCAGATTGCACCTGCGAATGGAAACACCGAACAGCCCCTTACAACGGACATGAGAGAGGGCAGTGACAAGCACGAGGGTGTTTGATGCCCACAGCCGAGGCCAGTGACAGATGTGCCCGTTCACCCTCGCTTTTGGGAAGAGGAGGAGGAGGGAGAATGAGTCTCTGCAATAAATCAGAGAGGCTCTGATCTGGTAATGATGAGCCATCTTAATATCAGGTCCTCGTTCCTCAACATGCTGGCATGTATGCATGTATTCCTCTGGGGCAACGCTAATACCAGACATAACTGTGGTGTCTGGTGGGTGGGTTTGTATGGATCGGTATCTCTTCTGCTGCAGTTCAAAAATAACACGTAGCAACAAACCTCCCATCTTTGCTGCCACGGCAGATTTGAAACGAAACAGCCTTTCCCACGCAAGGAAAGTGCTCGCCTCTTAATTCTAGTCCTGCTGGGGTAATATTATCCCAAGTCCCTTTTCTCCTCCTAGTGAGTCTCTGCTAACAGCAGAGCCGGTGGCAGCGGCAGCAATAATGACACCAGTGGGCACTGGATGCTAGGACATGGTCTCCATGGGGTTTGGCTGTCTGGGGGCTGTGACTTTCAAAAAAAGTCTCCTCTGTAGTATTAACTGGTGTCTCCTCTCGGGCTGTGCTCCCATGCCACAACCTCCTGTGTCACACCAGGGATGAGGGGCTGTGGGATAAACTGCCAACAAACCCCCTCGTTATATGGTGGTCTCTCATAGCTCCTTGAGGAAGGATCCATGGCCGTTAAGCCGTGGCCATGCCATGCATATGGTGCTGGGTACATGGCACCTGGGACCAGCTGATGGAAGGATGCAGAGATGCTCCGCCAGCATGGCGAAAACCAGAGGGTACCCACATGTTAATACACTGCATGCTCTCCTGCAGCGTTTTACGGTGAAGTTACAGTATTTAACGAGCAGGAATTGCATCCTAACCATCTGCCTTGATAATCAGCCATTACTACTGTTTTCCCGACTTTACAGATGGGGAAACTAAGGGAATGGTGTAAAGAAAATCCAGCTGCTGGCACGCAGGGCCCTCCTGATCCACTCACTGAAAATAAACATTGGATCTGAGGAGCAAAGCTTTATCCTAGGCACAGAGCCCATCGCTGGCCATCACCAATCCCGCTGAAAAGGCTGCCAGGAAGGAGCAAACCTTCCTCAGGAAGATGCAGGTTCAAGTGGTGGCTCAGACAGCCTACGGCAGGAAGAGCACATCCATGCCAGACCTGCACTAGCATACACGGCTGGGGAGAATTTGCTCAAAATCCCAGTCCTTACACCCAGAAAAGGTTTTCTCCTGCAACTTTGCTGTCTGACAAAGTCCTGCCCTAAACTTTGCCAGAACTGCAATAAGGAATTTGTCCCTTTGCTCACGCTGGTTACACTTAAGGATGCAAACGATAACGCCCCGTCCCCTGTGGGCAGGACAGAGCTGCGAGCAGCCAGGCAAGGCTGGAGCAGCCGGCTGGAGCTGGGGGCAGAGGTGACATTATCCTCGTTGCCACGTCAAGCTGGGGACCGCCTCTGTGAGCTGCTGATGGATTGGCCTGTCTTCGTAATAGACTCGCCAGAACGCAAATGTCTGCACATACATAAATCATCAGCGGTCTCCTGCGGCCCCTCAGCTAAGAGGTGCACACGGTGTCAGGACAGGCGTGCTCCTCCTCTCCACTTCAAGCATCTTCCGTAGTGGATTCAGTGTGCCTTGCAGTGGGGGGTCAGGATCTGCTGCTGCAGGTCCATGGGGCAGTGCAGCTGCAGGGACATCAGTGCTGGGCACGGAGCAGTCACAGGGGAGCGTTATAGAATCATAGACTCATGGAATGGTTTGGGTTGGAAGGGACCTTAAAGATCATCTACTTGCAACCCTCCTGCCATGGGCAGGGACACCTTCCACTAGATAACGTTGCTGAAAGCCTCATACAGCCTGGCCTGGAACACTTCTAGGGATGAGGCATCCACAACTTCTCTAGGCAACCTGTTCCAGTGCCTCACCATCCTCAGAGGGAAGAATTTCTTCCTTAGATCTAATTGATATCTGCCCTCTTTCAGTTTAAAGCCATTTCCCTTTGTCCTATCCCTACAAAAACGTCCTTGTAAAAAGTCTCTCTCCAGCTTTCCTGTAGGCCCTTTTAGATACTGGAAGGCTGCTAGAAGGTCTCCCTGGTGCTGATGTTATCCCTCTCCCCCTTCAAATCTAGTTTAAAGCCCTGTCAACGAGCCCCACTAGCTGATGTGCAAAGACCTTCATCCCCCTTTGAGAAAGGTGAACCCCATCTGGTGCCAGCAAGCCTGGTGGCACGTAGGCCAATTTATTATCGAAAAACCCAAAATTGTGGTGGTGACACCAATCACAGAGCCATATATTAATAGACTCGGTGTGTCTGTTTCTTCCAATGTCACTGCCCGCAACTGGAAGGAGAGAGGAAAAAAAATCCCTGAGCAGGGACGTGCACGAGCGTGGTGCCAGGACATGGGCCCCCACCTTATCACGAAGCTGTGCGCGTCGATCTCGGGGCCGCAGCCGCTGCTGAGCAGGACCCCCGAGTTGCCCACGATGGCACAGGTGGGGAACTGCTTGCCCTTGAGGGGCGAGGTGCGGGGCAGCAGCTCGTACAGGTTCTGCGAGACGTTCATGGTGCTGTCCCTGTCAAAGACGTAGTGGATGATGTCCCCCGGCTTCAGCGTCCCCTTCAGCACCGAAATGTCCTTCTCCGCATCTAGGAACTTCAGGATGTGCTTCCTGAAGACAGAGAAGAAAACAGCCTCATCACATGAGGTACAGAGATAACTTAAGTCATATGTAAGATGAACTCTTGCCTTCTGCCTGCCCTCGCCCCGTGGCCAGTCCCAGCCGACTGATGCTCTCCAGGAACAGCTTTCAAACGGATATCTCCATCTTAACGCCTGCTCCTTCTCCACCCATCCCTTCCCAGGGCAGGCTAGCACGGCCAGCCCATCACTAGTGGGAGGTCCCTGCATCTACCCTGGGTAGACACTCTCCTTCCCCCCTCCATGACCCACCGCCAGCACACACTAGTTCCACTTGGCCCGGAAAATGGGGGCTCAAGTGCTCCTCATTTCGTCATTTCAAAGCCAGCTGGTTCAGCTGGGAATTCATTTCCAAGCGATCGCTTACAGATATGAAGCCTAGCTCAGCAGGAGATAAGCCTTTTATTTCTTCCTCGACTTCTTTAGATGATATACAGAGGCAATTTGCCAGCTTGCACTGGAGAGGACCAAATCCGTCTCTTGTCCTATAGGTAATTACTAGTACCTGATCTTCAAAGAGAGTGTCTGGTTGTGTCTCCATTTGGATGAGGCTGGTTTAATGTTGTGCTTAATGCTTTCATTACTTCTGTCAACAACAGCTGGAGACGAGGAGTCATTTATTACTACTTCAGCTCTAGAGAAATGAAAGACAGGGAGAGGGAGAGAGATGGGATCCGTTAGCATCCCAATGGCACTTCTAATCACCGTCTTCGGCTCTGGCTGCTGGAATTCAAACTTCATCAGAAAAGCAAAATTGTAGTTATTAGCTAAACAAGAAGTGAAAGCCTGTTTGTACTCTGCTGCGCTCAAGCAGACAGACACAAATCCTTAAATACCTGCTTGCTTACACGAACAGAGACTTACGGGCAGGCACAGCTCTACGGACAAGACGACCTCACATACCCAGGTGTTGAAAGGCATGCACACGAAAAGACAAGCAGGCTCTGCAAAGACAAGCTGGCGGATGGACACTTGCAGACAAGACACCCCAGAGCCCCAGGGAGCCCCCAAAATTCATCAAGTGGTTCCTACGCTGGCAGCCGAGGTTGCTGCCCTGCTGCCTCGTGGTCACAATGTGAGCATCCCAAAGCGGAGCCAGCTCAGCTCCTGCAGCAGGTTAAAACCCTCTGCTGAGAAGTGCAACTTCCACTTCACCCAAAGGAGAAATGAATTTAGCTGAGCTGCTGGGGGCTGCTCGTGAGATCGGGCTACGAGCATCCCATATCGAACAGGGAGAGGCTGGCTCCCTGGTAACTTTTCCCCCTGTTAGAAGAGAGCATGAGGATTTTGGCATCCGTATCGCCTGCTCCGGACCCAGAAATGAGCAACAGCCAGATGCTGCCGTTTGGAGATGATCACTGGGAGACCTCACCTTTTAATCCCTGCTCTAAGCAGCAAACCAGCCCCAGCACCACAGTGCCATTTACACCAAATGGCACGAGTTACGGGAGCCTCTGAAGATCTGATTCCAGCCCGCCGCCCTCCAAAGAGAACACCCCAGCATCTCATCAAGAAGCTGCACATGTGTCTGCAGCCCTGAAAAAAAACCTTCACACTTCAGAGCGCTCTGAAAAATACCCAGCCAAAGCACTCGCTATCAGATAAAGGGAATCTCTCTCTCCAGTGCAAAGGGTTTTTTCCAGCTGGAAAATGGTTTGTAAATAAATACATTTAGAAAAAGCGTGTAAAGCCCAAGGAGGGAGAAGAGTGAGCGATGGGGCAGAGCTGGCAGCCCAGGCTCATGGACGACATCCAGCTCCCAGGAGCACCTCTCCAGGGTAGGGAAGGAGCTCCTGAGGACATGCTAGGTAATGTTGCAGAAAGGCAAGGAAATGCGTTTAGAAACGCTGGCTGCCAATGACCTTGTGCGTGTTCGTATGGTACTTTTCCAGCGGCTGCCAGGTGAGGCCGTGGGATTTGTTCGCATCTTGCATTTTGCCATATCACCTCGTGTCTTGCGAAGCTTACTTATAAGGTGTCAAAAATCATAAAGCGAACAGGGTAAAGACATCTTGGGAATAGCTACGATTTCTTTTGGTTTTGTCCATTTTCTGTGTTTTGATCATTTGTGATGACATCACCACAGAATGACATTACCCCTCCTTTCTCACGTGGTGCCACTAAGCTTTGCGACCGTGTCACTTGGTAAGGCTGGGATGACATGAAATTATTGCAAAAATAACACAGAGAGACACTGAACGAATGAAGCTGCGATGCCATGAAATGACTCTGCGATGGAGCGACGTTGCTGAAGCGCGTTATGACAAAACCGAATGAAGTTCTGACATCAAAGACTGCGATTGCTCTTCTAACAGCACGTAGTAAAACTACGAAAACGGCAACTCTATCACTGACTTATTTTCACAATAAGTAACTCTCCCTTGCTCATTCCCTCAATCACCACAACTTGCAGATCCTTGGTTATTTGCAAATGATTATTGCACTGGGCTGGGGGAAGGAGGGGGAGAAACGATTAAGAAAATGCAAAGCAGAAGTGAAAAGAAACAGATACATTTGCTAAATAAGAACAGCACTATCCAGCGAAGAGGAGAAGCAGATTAATAGCTGCCTTACAGCAAAAACAAATGAACACAAAATCTAATTTACAAACCTATTAGATTTGCTATGTAAGCTGTTCACAGCTGATCTGATTGTACCTCTGCCTCCAGAACTCCTGCAAGACAAAGGAAATGCATTATTTATAAACCCAGCTCCTCTTTGCCAAGCATTGTTCAACAGTCAAGAGATCCTGTTCCGAAGGGCTCCGAATGGAGACGCTGCCGCGCCATTTGCATCCCACCCCATCCTGAAAGGAGATGTCCTAATGCTTGTGAAAGGCTTTCCGCATCCAGTGTCGTTACCGCCCTACTGCGACCGCAAAATCATTCCGGCAAAAAAGCTCCTAACCAACCCAATTAATAACACCTGAGCATCTAACCAGCCATCGAAGACATCTGGTCTCTGTCGTCAAAGCAGCATGCAGCCTACAGGTTGCATTAAATACATCTCTACATTTTTTTTTCAGGAGTCAGGTGTTAGCAGTGCATAGAGAAGGTCTCCTCCATCTCCAGGTTGCCAAGGCACTTCCCCTTCTTCTCAGCTGGGGACCGAGACGGATGATCTGGACTGGATACTCACCACTGTTTTCATCTTGGGCTTTCAGTTCAGACCACCCAAGATCGCTATTTTAACCAGACTGAGCCACCACCTCATCCTCACAGTGCACCTTCTCCCAGTGACCTAGGCCAGACTCAGGGCCCCATTCCAGCCCCCTCTGATCCCATGAGTGCCCTGAAGCTCCTTGTCCCCATCTTTGGTATAACCTGGGCTGAAGGTACGAGGCCAACTCACTGCAGTCACTCGTGTGCTGGAGCCGAGACCTCAAGTGACAGCCTTGTCACCCCCATGGCCTGACATCACTGTGCAAGGACGGGTGCCAGACCTGCCTGAGCAAGACCTGTGGAAATGGAGAGCCAAAGTTTCCAGCACCAGGCACTACAATGATGCTATAATGAAGAAGAGGTGGGACCAAGCCCCTTCAGAAATCAACGCCACTCACACAACCCATCAATCCCCAGTTAAAAACAAAGACATACAAGTATTGGTCTACATCTAATTGGCTGCAGAGCCCTTTCCTGCTATCGCTTGCTGTTTTCAAAGGGGTAAGAACCAGTCGCCCACTTTGTGATGCTCAGTGGGAGCTGGACTCCAAGTCAGACACACTTTAACTGCCACGTGCTCACTGCTCTGTTTTATTGTTTCCATTGCACAGGTATCATCCAAATGAACATGCTCATAACAGGAACCAAATTCTCTTCCAGCAGAAATACTGTTACCTGGAAATATATACTCTAATGAAAATGTATCTCAGGAGCACCAATTTCTACTGGTCCTAAAAAAATCCCAAATGCATTAGACATAAATGAAAAAGAAATAGAGTGCATGAACATTGGGTGCCATCAAAAAAGATTTTCAGACTTGCAGTATGTGATGTAAATCCCTTCGTTAGGCTTAGCACAGCCCTCAGCACCGCGTAACATCAAACCCTGGGAAATGCCACGATGGTTGTCCCTTTCCTCCCTCCTGCCAGACACCATCTACAGCCAAGTCAGAGCGATGCCTGCCCTGATACTCTCATCTTTCCTTTGACAAACCTGAGAGTCAGCAAGCCGTTTCATTTTTTGGTGCATCAAGGGAACAGCAGGACTAGCTTATTCCTAGAGCCTACTGGCATTTAACAAGGCTCCACTTTAATGGGGTTCACCACAGGGTGTGGGAGCAGACTGGATTAGTGTGCAAACCACGCACCCTTTCAGAGACGTCTCCTCTGAAGAAGCCTTCCAAATGGGATTCACACTCCTTCACACTTGCTCCAAGACAGATAGGGACTGGATTAAGGGCTTACAAAAAGAAATGCCACTCCCTGAGTAAGTGCTGGTTCACAATCTTTCAGAAAGGGAAAAAAAAAAAATCCCAGAAATTAGCAAGTGGAGAAGACTTATCAGCTCCCACCTCATCCATGTTTTGCATCTACAGCAGTGCTGATCCAAAGCATCACAACGTATTATTCAAATACATTTATCCACTCTAGCTTTATATGCCCCCAGCGACAGGTCTGCGCGTGTCTTCTGAAATCAAGGCAGGCGTCAGGGCTGGAGATGCTGGACGTGAGGAAAACAAGTCGAGAGCACATCTCCCAGCCCACTCTGTGCACAGGGTGGTGGGGAAGAAGGTTGGCTGCCCGGATCCCCCACTGAGCAGCCCCGCAAGGGCTGTTTCATGGGTTATTTTTTCTCATGTGAAATCCAAAATGTTTCAAAATATTGTCATGCAAACAGAGCATGAAGTGTTCTGCTGCCATATATAAACATGATGGGGGTGGCTCATCGGTGGAAGAGAGAGAAGGGCTCTGCTAGCTGTCTTACCGTGACTTGCTTCACAGCACTGGGCTTTGCTGGCTGCAGCCACCACTGCAGGGCAGCATCTGGCCCAGCACCACCCAGGATGCTCTTGGTGGACACCCAAGATGCTGGCAGAGGCACTGCTCCCTATACGAGGCTTGGTCTCTCTCTCTGAGCCATGAAGATTGCCTGAAGCTGGGACATGATACTTGGCTGAAGGTCTCCGCTGGTTCAGCGAATCCTAAAATGCTGCTGTGACTTCAAAACCATTGGCCTTTTGGCCCTTTGTGTCCTACACTGCAACTGCTGGACATCTTCCCTACAATCTCCTTTTGTACAGTTGACGACAACATGCGCTGTGAATACGATGCCATGGGGTGTATTGCCCTGTTCAGCCATCCTGCTCAGGTCAGCTCACTGTCGGGCACCAGCAAGGCACACCTCCTGCTCAAAACACCCGTAGTTTAGCCAAGTGTGGTATTTTCCAAGGTCTGCCATACTCCGTTACCAACACAGGCAAGCCAGTATCACTGCACTGCTTCACTTCCCCCACCTGGGAAGAGGAAAACATTAAGAAATGGAAGGCATTAATTAAAAGGCACACTTTTTTTAGAAAAAAAAAAAAAGAAAAAAAAAGTCGGCCCATTTGATTATACCTTGCTGACCTGGAGTTTCAAATCACCTGGCTTCGAAAGGCAAAGACCAGCCTCGATTAAAATTGCACAGATAGGCATTGATTTTGAAAAGCTTTCCAGTGCTACACCGTGTTTAGATTGAATTGCTTTATTAATCTAGCTGTTATCAGTTTGATTGTATGGCCAGCTCCACAAAGTACCAACCTGCTTCCTAATCCTATTATTTACAAAACGCTCTTCTTTTGACTTCTGTTGGGATGTTTTTCAGTGATAAGTCACATCTATATGTGCTAATGCCATATTACTGGCTTATGCCATCCTTTCTCATTTTTGCTTTGAGTTTTCAAGCTGAATTTCCACTATCTAAGATATTATATAGGTCAAAACATTCTGTGCTCAGATGTAAAGTGACACTGATTCATATATCAGAGGATGGGAAAGAAAAATTGTCTTATGGTTCAGGTCCAGATTTTCTTGGATGAATAACTTCCAACAAATCAGGTATGTGAAGACTTTTCTATTCACCCACTATGAATGGGCTGTTTTGGGTTTTTGCATTCCTTTTCATAGTTTCCCACTTTTTAAATGATTCTCTTAATTGTTGCTAGGTATGGTTTGGTCTTGCTCGGAGCAATTTTGATACATGAAATCAAAGCCGCTTTGACTGAACAAGTAGGTCACACAGCCTCTTTGGGCGAGCGGATCCCTAAGAGCAGGCTTTACGCATCCATGTTCTCAGGCTTACAAATTAAAAAATGTCTTTTCCATGGATATTTTACAGTGCCTACCTCCAAATCTTGCTTCCCCCCCAGCAGAGACCACACATGGGAAGTGGGTATGAGAAGCATGAACCTGCCAGAAATTCCAGCCGTACCAAATCACCTGTTTAGCCACATTTGTGGAGCCCGTTCCTGGTGGAACAAAACCTCTGCTTCTTCCTGACCTTGGACAACCCAAGTCCTCGTCTTCTCCCTTCTCCACATAAAAGAGAGATAATAACATCTCTGTAACCCTTTGGGGGATTGTTAAACAGAATTTATTCATCTGAATTCCTCAGAAAGAGAGTTCAGAGTGCCACAATTTTTATCCGAGCAGTTCAAATGATTAACACCTACTAATTAAGTTTTCACAACCTGCTTTTGCGTTAGGTGCGTTTTATGATCCTCGTTTTATGGGTGGGACAGTGGAGGTGAAGTGACTTGGCTTGTACCACCAAAAATGATTGTCCCACAAGTCAGGACAGGAGCAGGCACTATGGCCTTACAGCAGACCCGTCCTCTCGAAAATGCTGCTCTTCATTTGCTGAGAGCCAGTACGGCTCTTGCTGTATGAGAGGGTAGGACACATCACCCAGAGGACCACAGGAACTGGTCTGAAAAGGTCCCATTGGGCTGAAAGCACACGTAGCCGTTGGTGTCCTGCAGGCTGTAGCCATAAGGCAGCCCATATCTATTAAAAAAAATAATCGCCAGCTACATTTACTTTGTTTTTTAAGGTTTGCTCTGATGTTGTCTTCAAGACCAGAATTGCTACTTTCTATCTGAAAAGCACACAAGCATGATACCGGGCCTGGTCAGGGACCACCCTCCCAAAACCACTGCCCTCCCAACCCACAGGCTGTCCCTGAGGCAGCTGGGTGGGGAGGGGACGCAGAGCAGGATGCTCACAGACCCTCTGCAGGATGCTGCTTCATGGCCAGGTGGACCCAGTCACTGTAACTAACAGTTTTGGGGAAAGGGATACGCTGCCCAGCCACCGAAAATGAAATACAAACACGGCGATCACCTCCCTCCTCCCAAACTCGATACACATTTGGCTCCTGCTGACACAGTGATGCATAATCCCATGTGCGTCTGCGGGCATAAGCCAGACCTCGCAGTGCCAGGGACCAGTTGGCACCTGCACGCCGCCTCGTTAGGGATGGGCTTGGATGCACCGACCGCCCTATTAAGTGAGTGAATTCACTTTGCTGACTAAGAGCAGTGCAGTCGTTAAGCTAAGCCGTGTGCCCCCCGAGTCCTCAAAGACAGGGCAGGATTCGTTCCAGCCAACGTGGCAAAACGTGGAGGAGGATGAAGGTTTCAACCCTCCCTCCTCTTCCCTGAAATTCAGGGTTTGTGTGGAGATCAGCACAGCAGCAAACAGGACTCCAGGGCTTCGGAGGGAAAAATTGCCATATTTCCAAGTTGTCTACGGAAGGGAAATAATTGCCTACCAAGTGCCAACCTGTCCAGCTTGTCCCACAGGGTGGAAAAATAAAGGTGTCCTGGGAGCCCAAACTGAGCAGGAACCAAGCCCAGAGGCTGGAAACCAGGATTACCCAGGGACCTGGTACCTTGGATCTCCATCATCAGGGTCTCGCTGAAAAGACAGAAGACGACCACATTCATCAGCAAGCCCCTCGTGTTGCCTTCTGACCAGACACTTAAGTGGTTTCTGTGGGGTTTAGGTCAAAGCCCACCCATACCCATAAATTGCTCTGCTATCGCAGGAGAGACAAAATTCAGAGACGAAAGGCATCACTGCTGGTAAGCCCGACATGTAAACCAACTTGGAAATGAGAAAAAGCCAAAGCCAGGTGAGAAGCGATGGCATCCAAGATGAATTTTTGACCCTGGAGACGAGGTTCTTGAACTCAACACCATGCACTCTCCCTAATACCCTTCTTCCCCCATCCAGAAACACAGCTCTCGCAGGCTCGTTTCTCACCTCGCCTCCCTGTACCACATTTTCACCACACACCAGGAGGAGCCAGGACATCTGACACTTGCAGATCATTCCTTGGGACATTTCACCAGTTGCTTTTGCGACTTTCATCCCCAGGAGTGGAGCAGATTGCGACTAAGAGAAGTGGTGGCCGTTGGGTAGCCCTGTGCACCCGCGCTTCCCTGGCGAGCAAGGTTCCCTCCGTAGGGATTAATTTAGAAGACATTTCTAAAGCGTTTGTCTGCTAGGATGAAAGATCCTGCAATACATCTTGATGAGACTTTTGAAATCGCACTTCGATGTGTTTAAAATCTCACTCGTTCATATTGTCACAGCTTGGCAGCCTGAGTGTCAAAAAATTCCTAAATATCAGGTGCTATTTTTACTGCTCCAACTCTTAGTCTTTCTATTGAGTCATACGACTGCATTTGGGAGAATGTGTCCATATCGTGGCTTTCAGGAAAATCATCTTGCCCCGCTATACGAACCGCGGGGGCAGTGCTTGTGCAGCCAGGCTGGCGGCGAAGCATCTGCCAAGGAGACTCGGAGTAACGTGCCAGCCGACGGCACTGCTCTTGCTCACGGTGCTTGCTATGGGCAGATCTGTCACTCTCATGCGTACCAGCCTTGCTAATTTGGTCACCTCCTCGCATTCCCCAATCCCACCTCCATCACGTCACCCATCCATGGGTTCCTGCGTGGGGACCACAAGACGGGAAGGTCTAAGACACTCAGCATCCCTACTTAGCAGGTGGTAACCGTGACTCCACATCAGCTCCTGCACAAATGAGAGCAGGTTTGGCCCCAAGATTTCTGCCCGGCTGCAAATCACTGCGTGTAATCACTGCGAGTGTACGCTGAGGACGCAGGAATCAAGACGCACGAGTTTGCAAAACAGAGACACGTACCGCTTAATAGGGAGTAAGTCAATCAGGCTGAAATGCTTTCGTGGCAAAAGCAGTGAAGGATCATAGAATCATAGAATGGTTAGGGTTGGAAGGGACCTTAAAGATCATCTAGTTCCAACCCCCAAATCATCAGGAAGGAATCAGCAGGGAC